TTTGCCCATGAGAAAATTGAGGAACAGAGGGTTTCAGTAACTAACCCAAGAACACATAGCTCATTAGCAGAAGGGATTGAGCACTGCGAGTCTCCCAAGTGCTACACTAAGGAGGGAACTGCATACATGCTGTGTGGGGCCAGCAGACTCAGACCGAGTGGGCTATGGAGATGAGAGGCGGACATGAGAGGAAATATTCAATCCTCAGGGCACAGGCACGCCAGAGTGACAGCAGACTTGGTGACTCCAGACTTCAGCATTTCATGAACGACTAAAATATAAAAAATTGGGAGGGAATGCCACATAGTGATTTAGTCACATACGGACATTTGCAGAAACACCAAATATCATCTACTGTTATCAACATTTGATAAAAGAAAGGACTTTTACCACCCCAAAATGCAAAGGACAGCCAGCATCTCACAGTGAAAGTATATTTTTAAAACTGGATGAATTAAGCTTTCTGAAAGACTTACTGCAGTGGTCCTATTATGCTTACTTACCGAGGACAGGGATGCTCAGAGAATAGAATGTGTGGAGCGTGAACACAGAAACAATATAAACATGCAGAAAGAAGAAGGGACAAGGAATGTGTGTGCCTCAGAGAGCAGTGACTAGGGGGCCACTTCCTTGTGCAAAATAGCTGAGGCAGAAAGTGCCATTGTGAAAAGGCCATGGCAGAAGCAGACTCACAGAGAGAAGCCAGGAAAGAGACCCAGATGCCAGGGCACACTCCTGCTTCCTCCCAGATCTTAGATCAGTCCCTCAAGGAGCCTCGCTGGAAATGCTACCTTTGGAATCTGCAAAACACCCCATTTCCTTCACACACATCCCTCTCCTTTGACTGTGATGAAAAGCAAACTATTTTTTGCGCAACCCTCCCTAAGTGAGACACAGGATCAGACAGGAAGAGGTGAGTCCAGAAAATGACTGAAGCTGCAGGGAGCAGGGAGTGCGAGCTCCTGAGGCCTCCTTGACCAGCCAGGCCTGGAGCCAAAGGGTAGAATGAAAGAGGCTTCAGGGGCCCCACATGGTGGGGAGAGAGGCCTTACCCAGAGAAACCAGAAGCCCACAGGTTTCCAGCATCACCTCCTGGTATAAGGTCCTCTGGCTCAGGTCCAGCTGCCCCCACTCCTCCTGAGTGAATGTCACAGCCACATCCTCAAAGGTCACAGAGATCTAGAAAGTGAAATAGTGGCGGTGTTGTTACCCTTGGGACTGCTAGATAGGATTAGAATCTGCCATTCCAGCACTGCAAGAGATGCACGGAACCCCATGGGCCAAATCACCAAGCACCTCCAGAGGGCTGAGCTCTGTGCAGGGCTCTAGGGGAAGGTGGACACTGCCTTGGACAGATTAAAGCAGTGTGGAGAGAGAAGCATCTTATGCAGGAAGGCACTGGGGATTGAGACAAGGTTCGGACAATCCTGAGTAACATTTTAGGCAAAGAAAGTAAGCATTGTGGGATATCAGAGGATGGGAAAGAAAATAATACCAATAATGATAATAGCACAGCACCTGAGTCATAGTGGTCCTCACTGTGAGCCTGCCCCATGCTGAGGGTTTTACATGCCACGGTTCCCCAGCTCCGCAGCCAGACTCCTAGGTTTAAAACCAAAGTCCTGAAATCAACACTTGCCTACTGTGTGACCTTGGGGACCTCATTTCATTATTTGGAGCTTTGATTTCCAGATCAATACAAAAACATATAATCAAAAACAGTCATAAGAATGAAACACAACAAAAAAAATGTTTGTATAGAAAATACTGTGGTGATGGGCCTCAGCTCCTGAGGTCAATACCATCATCATCTCATGACACACTCAGAGACTTCAGGTCCAGGAGCTCTACCAATTTATGCAAAGTCACATGTCTTACGAGCAGAGGCAGGTTATGAACCCAGGTCCTTCTGGTGTAAGGTCTAGTCATGTAACCCTGACACTCTTCCATTAGCAAAGTTAATCCACAG